TGCCACTCATTTGTGGAATATAAGGAACAACATAAACTGATGAACAAGGACTGATCCAGAGATGGAGAGGCATTGATTGGACTGTCGGGCTTTGGAGGGAGGGTAGGGGAGGGTGGGGATAAAGGGGAAAGAGCAACCAAAGGACTTACATGCAGGCATATAGGCCTAACCAACGGGCACGGACAACAGGGGGGCGGGGGAGGGCAAGAGTGGAGGGGGGGTAGAGGATAACGTGGGGACAAGGACACATATGTAATTTCTTAATCAATAAAAAATATATTAAAAAAAAAAAAGATATACCAATGTCAAGTATCATCATATGTCATATGTCATTAGAGAACTGCAATTTAAAACAATGTGATATCACTACACACCTAACAGAATTGCCAAAATCCAAAACAAAGACAATGCCAAGTGCTGGTGAGGATGTGGAACAAACAGGAACTATACTGCTGGTGGGAATGCAAAATGATGCAACCACTTTGCAAAAACAGTTTGGCAGTTCTTATAAAATTAAACGTACTCTTAGATATGATCCAGCAATAATTTTCGTTGGTATTTAGTTAAGTGAACTGAAAACTTGTGTCTCCACAAAAACCTACACATGGATTTCATAGTAGCTTTATTCATAATTGCCAAAACTTGGAAACAACCACAATAGTTTTTAGTAGGTGAATGGATAAACTAACTGTGGTATATCCAGAGAATGTACTATTACTCATGAAAAGACCTGGAGAAAGTATAAATGCATATTATTAAGTAAAAGAAACCAATAAAAAGGGCTACATACTGTATGATTCCAACTATATGACATTCTGGAGAAGGCAAAACTATGGGTACAGTATAAAAAAATCTATGGTTTCGAGGGGGTTGAGGGGGGGAGGGAAGGTTAAACAGTCAGAGCACAGAGGATTTTAGGGCAGTGGAACTATTCTATATGATATTACAATGGTGGATACATACATTTTGAGCATTTGTCCAAAAACATAAAATGGAAAACTCCAAGAGTGAACTTTAATGCAAACTATGGACTTTGAGTGATAATGATGTATGCATTGATTGTAACAAATGTACCCCAGTGGTGCAGGATGTCAATAGTGGGGGAGCCTGTATGGGGGGCAAGGGGTATTTGGGAATTCTGTACTTCCTGTTCAATTTTGTTGTGAACCTAAAACTGATCTAAAATTTAAAGTTTATTAATTTTAAAAAAACTAAGACACATGGGGAAACCTAGGTTAAGTTTAATTATTTATGGTTATGGAACTTTTTCAAGGTCAAAAACCCCAAGAGCTATTTCAAAAATATTTAATCAGATGATTTCTTTCACTCACGAAAATTTGTTGATTACCTTTCATGGTCCAGGCTTATAACTATGGAATAAATGAGATTCCAATAATCTCTATTGTTTACATTCCAAATTAATGGAAAAACTTAGTTTATTCCTCTTATGATTCCTAACACAGCATAGGCCCAGAAAAGAGACATTATCAAAATGGATCAAAAT